TGGATTTGCTAATGGAAAAGAATCAGAATGTTTGCTACTGTCATACATCATAGAATAGAGAATCTTGAAATATATTTTGGTAGTGATTCTTTTTAATGTTCCGCTACATTGCCTTTAGTGCATGGAAGACAGGGGGAGACAGTATTTTTATCTTGAGCAATATATCCCTGTAATAAATAAATATAATAATATGAAGATTATTGATATGCCCCTTGCAATACTTCTGTTGATGTCCATGGATATTCAGACAGCATGATCAAAAATGTATATGAACCAATGGTAGAGTTTGTCAGGTTAATTTCTGATTCAAACAATATTTCTGTTCAAAAGTCATAATGAAATTCAACATGTGTGAACATAAAAACAGGGATGAACTATGCAATGACTATGATAGCTTGTGCTTCTGGTAAGGGAGCATCATTTAGAGATAGAGGGTAACAGATTTTTGTGCTCTTTGTTTACTCTCAAGTTTGATATTTCAACTCTTTGTGTTAAGACCAAATCATATGGTCTTACTCAAGGAGTTTGGTTGAAAGTTTGCAAAATAAGTTAATATTTACAACTGAATTTTAATAGAAAAAGAATGAGAAATACCAAACTTCTTAGAATGTGGCATTAAATGTTTAGTGAATTAAAAGCATGTTATGTAAAAAGTCTTAGGTAACTATACCTAATAAAAAGCTTCTTATGTGAAAATTAATCCCAGAGTAGAAAGATTTATATAATATTTTTATCTTTATAAAATAATGAGTATCTTAAACTGTTAGAATTATATATTAATTTTTCAATACACCAAGTAACTTTAAATGTCTTTTGTTTCAGTACAAGTACAAGGAAGGGTATCGCAAACAGCTGGGCCACCACATTGGGGCCAGGAACATCGAGGACGACCCCAAGATGATGTGGTCGATGCACGTGGCCAAGATCCAGAGTGACAGGGAGTACAAGAAGGACTTTGAGAAGTCCAAGACAAGGTTCAGCAGAGCTCTCCAACAGGATGTGTTAACTAATTGATGCTTCAGTGAAATCCCCTAACTCCAGAATTGCTATCTATCATTTACCATTCTGTGGAAGTTGGATAATGGTTTCACCCTTAATGTAGTGGAAATGCACTTGTTTTTTGTATATTTTATCTTGTGCTTTGTATTTATTTAAATTAACTGTTAATTTGATAGTGAGATTACTTATTGGCGAAATATTCACCATGTAAGTTGCATTATTACTATTGTTATTATTATTGATAGAATAACCCGTGTGGGTGATTTTTTTTTCTATTTTTTGTAACAGAACTGCTACAAGTCTGACCTGGAATGGCTGCGGGGCATTGGCTGGGTCCCAATTGGTTCCTTGGAAGTTGAGAAAGCCAAGAGAGCAGGGGAGATCCTGAGTGATAAGATTTACCGCCAGCGTCCGGACACCATCAAGTTCACCAGTGTCACGGATTCCCTGGAGATGGTGTTGGCCAAGCAGAACGCAGACACCATGAACAAGGTGAGTCCTGATCCCTCTGGGTGACACATCAGAGATCTCAGCCCTGGAGACAGGACTGGGAATGAACTGAGCACCAGCAATGCTGCAGTTCAGGCATGATTCATTTTCAATCTGTTACCTCTTGTTATTTCACTCAAAACTCTAAAATCAGGTGAGGAAGATTCAAATTTGTGTAATATTCTCCATTTTACATTTAAATATTTTCCTTGGCCTGTGTGTGCATCGAGCACTAATTATTGTTCATTATTCCGAAGCAATGTGGCAGTTTCCTTAATGTTTTTAAACTCCCTCAGATAAATTCTCCTTTTGTTGATGTTACTTTTACCATATCAACAAATAACTGTATATCCATTTTATATTGGCATAAAATGGGTTGGGTTAGAAGGGACATTAAAGATCATTTTGTTCCAACCTCCTGCCATGGGAAGGGAATATTTCCCCTAGACCAGGTTCCTATCATTTTAATGAATGTGTTTTCCATGTTTATTGGGATATTAACCTGGTTTGGAATGCCCTATCAATCTCTTCCTGATTTCTTTTTTAGCGTTTGTACACTGAAGCGTGGAACAAAGACAAGACCACGATTCATGTCATGCCTGACACCCCAGAAATCCTGCTGGCCAAACAGAACCGAGTGAACTACAGTGAGGTGAGTGCAACGGGGCAGCTGAGACAGTTGAAGGGTTTCTCATAAGTACACTGTTGTCACCTTTGATTTTTTATTAATGGTAAAATATTGTCAGGTTGTTTATTTTCCTACATGGCCAATTTCAGTGCTGAAATCAGGGTTGCTCTTCCACAAAAATATATCATCCCCCATAAATGAGAAATAATTTCTACAGCAAGTTGTGGAAATAGGTGATTTAGCTCTTTAAATGTTCCAGTCTTTGCCTTCCCTAAATGATTTCCATTTTCCAAACATCCACTATAAAATTACAAGGTTTTTGAAATATTTTTTTTTCTTTTCTAGAGAAAAGTATTTAAATTGTCTGATGATGTACAATATAGTTTAGTGACTTTATTTGTTTTACTGCGCAGTTGTATTGAACTAAAATGCAATTTTCAATTTTGTTTTTTGAAACTGAATTGTGAATTTTTTTCTCACAGAAAATGTACAAACTGGCCTTGGAGGAGTCAAAGAAGAAGGGCTATGATTTGCGTTTTGATGCCATTCCCATTCAGTCTGCCAAAGCCTCCAGGGAGATTTTTTTGAAACTGAATTGTGAATTTTTTTCTCACAGAAAATGTACAAACTGGCCTTGGAGGAGTCAAAGAAGAAGGGCTATGATTTGCGTTTTGATGCCATTCCCATTCAGTCTGCCAAAGCCTCCAGGGAGATTGCCAGTGAGGTGAGCAGGCTTTGTTCTCACTTCTCTATGGATTTGCTAATGGAAAAGAATCAGAAT